GGGACCTGGACAAGCTGCCCCTTTAGACGAGGGTGGCCATGACCACCCTGGAGGAGACTGAGGAAATGGCAGAAAGGAAGTAGCACCCAGTCTCGTGCCGTGTTCCTCCAGGGGTGGCTGGTGCCATGGCCGTTGTCCCCATTGTCACCAGCCTCGTGCCACATCCCTCCAGGGGTGGCTGGTGCCGTGGCTGTTGGCCCCATTGTCACCAGCCTCATGCCACATCCCTCCAGGGGTGGCTGGTGCCGTGGCCGTTGGCCCCATTGTCACCAGCCTCATGCTGCATCCCTCCAGGGGTGGCGGGTGCCGTGGCTGTTGGCCCCGTTGTCACCAGCCTCGTGCCGTGTTCCTCCAGGGGTGGCCAGTGCTGTGGCTGTGGGTTCCATGTCACCAGCCTCGTGCTATATCCCTCCATGGGTGGTTGGTGCAGTGGCTGTTGGCCCCATTGTTACCAGCCTCATGCTGCATCCCTCCAGGGGTGGCAGGGGCTGTGGCTGTGGGTCCGTTGTCACCAGCCTCATGACGTGTCCCTCCAGGGGTGGCGGGTGCCGTGGCTATGGGTCCTGTTGTCACCAGCCTCATGCTGTGTCCCTCCAGGGGTGGCAGGACCTGTGGCCCTTGGCTCCATTGTCACCAGCCTTGTGCCACGTCCCTCCAGCTGTGGCCAGTGCTGTGGCTGTGGGTCCCGTTGTCACCAGCCTCTTGCTGTGTCCCTCTAGGGGTGGCCAGTTGGCCCTGTTGTCACCAGTCGTCTCAGGCAGAGCTGTGGGGCCTAGTGAGGAGCCCCGCCACCCTGTCCTGGAGGCAGCCGCACCAGCACAAAACCCTCCTAGCCTTGCACCTGCCTGGGGTGGCTTCTGCCAGAAACGCAATGAAAGTGCATGTTTGTGGATCCACCGGTTTGGTGCCCAGCCGGAATCCATCTGTCCATACTCAGTTGTCACCTGTCTGTCTGCCCCAGTGCCTGGCATAGGGTGGGCACCAATGTCTCCCACGGGTATTCCTGGAAAGAAAATTGTGCTAAAAAGGGTGGAGCCCTCTGCCTCCCGTGTGATATCTGGGGTCTTCCTTTCCATGGTCAAGGTGCAGTCCTCTCCCCACCTTGGCCAAGAGAGGGTCCTTGGGCCTCAGGAGGTGGGGGCACCTCACCGGGCCCTGGACAGAAACGTGGCCCAGCCTGGGGGGGTTTGGGGAGCAGCACCTGCTGGGGAGCCAGGCGGGACCAGTGACTGTTCCAAAGGGGTGAGGCTCCCTGGGGAGCCTCCCCAGGAGTGCTCACAGCCCTTCCACTGGCATAGGGACTCTGTGTGTGCCCACCCTGAGCTTCGAGGCATGGTGAGGTGGCTTTCAGTTCAGGAAAGGGCAGAAGATAAGCAGCTTGCAGCCTCCTTGCAGGGCGACCGAAGTTATCATCCCCCGAGCTGGCAGAGCAGGTCCCATGAGCCAATGCCAGGCCACCTAGCAGCCTCTGCCCCAGATGCCCACACACACAGGAGGGGCACAGCAAGAGCTTGGTGTGAGTGGGATGGTTTGGCTGGCAGCTGTATCCCCACTGCCTCTGTGCCTAGTGCTGACAGAGGAGCCCACGGTGCCTTGCCTCTTGGCCTGCGTGGCAGGCTGCTCTGGGTGGGCAGTGCTGTCCCTAGACACAGTGGCCAGTAGGGTCCAGTGGGGAGGGATGAGGCAGGGAGGCTGCCTGCACCCCAGGTTCAGCCTGGATGCCAACTCCCACACATTGTACCCAGATCTCATGCCTAGGACGACACCTAGGACAGTCCCAGTGCCCTCAGATTCTGGGACCTGGCAAAGCTGTTTGCATTGCCTAAGGGCATTGATGAGCAGAGGTGCCAAGCTGGCCAGGACCCTGTGCTCAGTGGGGCCTTTCCCAGAGCCGGGAGGAGACGCTGATTGTGCCCTCCACAGAGGACTGGGGAGACTCAGTCCAGGGTCCGTGGAGATGGGGGTGGGGACAGGCAAGGGAGGGGGCCTGTGGCTGAGTCCCAGGCTCTGGTGTGAGCTGAGTGACCTCCATCCTGAGAGTCCTGTCCCACAGGAGCTCCTATCAGGGCCCACACAGTGTGCCTCCTGCCTCAATGCCACAGAAGGCTCTGAGGCATGGGGCCTGGCACAGGCCTGCCTCTGTCAGATCTCCTCCCCAGACACATGGTGATGCCCACTGGGCCAAGACCAGTGGCCGGGTGAGTCAGCTGGAAGAGCACCTATCCGAACAGGGAGGGTGGTGCTAGAATTTGTGTCAGGGGGTATGTGTGGGCATAGCATGGGTGAAGCTGGATCTGGGGCGGGGCCGAGGCCATCATGGGTCTGCTCTTGAGGGCCACAGGAGGCCGCAGCCCGGCCAGGTTTGCTGAGTTGCACCTTCGCCACAGAGTGGCTTAGGCAGCTGTGAACTTCCTGAGTCTCTCGGATGGTGGGTGGAGGGTCATGATGGTGCCCAGGGGCATGAGGAGCAAGTAAAGGTAGCAGTGGCCAACGTGGCATCAGTGGGCCTGGCACACGTGGCACCATTCATGGTCAGCCGTCCCCACGATTGTCATCTTGTCCTTGTGCTCACCCAATCTTGCTGTGTGTCTGAGAGCAAGTGTGACTCCAGACCCCCACGGGCTCACCCCTGATTAATTCAGCACAGCTCCAGCCCCATCGCTGTCAGACCCCCACGGGCTCGCTCCTGATCGTGCAAGGCTAGCCCCCTCGCTGTGCCTCAGTGTCATCGGCTGTTGTGGAGGCCCCGGCTCCTCTCTGCAGGGCTTTTGGGAAGATCGGACACAGCTGAGCGGAGCAGGTGCTGGTGGTGAGGTCGGGCCTGGCCGGGCTGCTGCCTCTGTCCTCTGCTCTGCCCATTCTAGGTGCCTTTTCCCTCTAACACACACACGGTGTCACATGGTCACACTTTCCACAACCATGCAGGCACTTGCAGTCACACACGCACAACCACACGCACCCTCCTAAGGTGAGGCAGCCCCGCTGGCATGGGCAGGGCAGGTGGGGGGCGCTTGTGGCGGCCTCCTGGTGGGAGGGGAGGAAGGACTGTGGCACGGGATGGCCATCGTCTGTTGTCGCCTCTTCAGTTCAGTAGGGATGTGGGCAGCTAGAGGTGGTGGCTGCAGCAGGGACCCTTCCTGCCTCCTGCCTGCCCTGCTCTCTGCTGGGTACTCCCAGGCCCCTACACACCAGCTTGGGCCTGACGCAGAGGACTGATGGCACCGAGGACTGCTGTCTGCAGCCTTTCCCACTTAACTGGTACCTGGGAGGCCCAGATTGAGGCCCAGTGATGGGCTCACAGCCACAGAAGGCCCCCCCCCAGGACCCAGATCGTCCCCTCAGGGAGCAGATGGGGATAAGTGAAGGGAAGAACACCATTTTGTTGAATTTTAGTATGTAGCAAATAAGTTAACAAGAAATGAAAACAAATTCCAAAAACCTCTCGGGCTTGCTCCCCGAGGCTGTCATGGGAGGGCGGGTTCCTGTGGGTTCCTGCAGGTTTGTGTGGGTTCCCATGGGTTCCTGTGGGTTCCCGTGGGTTCCTGCGGGTTCCCGTGGGTTCCTACAGGTCCATGTAGGTTCCTGTGGGTCTATGTGGGTTCCTGCGGTTTCATGTGGGTTCCTGAGCTTTCATGTGGGTTCCCGTGAGTTCCTCCGGGTTCCTGTGGGTGCGTCTGTGTCCTGCCTGCAGTCCCACCTCATCTCCGAGCCCCGGGCTGCAGCCTGACCCCGGCTCTAACTGGCTTTTTGATGGGGCCTTCAGTGGGCTCACGGCCCCCGAAGTAAGGGGACAGAATTCGTGTTTATGTGCATAGGAGCATTTTTCTGGGGGTTCACAAAGGGGCCTGTGACCCCCAAAAGCTGGGAACACAAGGTAGACTGTGTGCTCTCTGGGATCAGGGCCACGTTTTGCTCTTGTATCCTCTGTCTGGCCAAGGACAGGGTGGTCCTGGCTTGGCGTGGGGGCCCTAGGGCTCACAAGTTCTCCTTGTAGACTGGCCTGGGATAGCCAGAGAGCGGGGCATGTGCCTAAAGGCAGGGACTGGAGTTCACCCGCCTGTGACCCTGGCCCACTGCTCACAGCAGCCCAGCTCCCCTCCTGCCCCCACAGTGTGCTTGGCGTGGCTGGGAACTCTGAGAACCCAACTCCCAGAGGCAAGGGAGCCCGAGGCCTAGCATCTGGGGCCTCATCTCATCTTGAGACAGAACAGGGTGGCCTGCTTGCAGCCACGGGAAGACTTGGGCCTGGGGTGTGGTGGTAATGGGGGTGCAGTGGTGGTAATGGGGGTATCAGTGGTAATGGGTGTTCAGGGTGGTAATGGGGGTGTCAGTAGTGGTAATGGGGGTGTCAGTAGTGGTAATGGGGGG